CCATTTCCGAAAACCACCAACAACAACCCCCATCACCACCCAGACAACGAAGCTTCTACCGACTCGGAGCTTGACCGCGAAACTCTGCATCTCTGCTGCGCATCTCTTCAAACTTTGGATTACTCCATTTCATCCGCATTCTCATCAACACCCCACCTCAGTCGCTACCCAGCACCATGTCTACTCTCGAGGACCTTGCTGGTCTGACCAGCCGCCGCGATGACGACGACAAAAAGAAGGACGAGAAGAAGGACGACAAGAGCAAGAGACAAGGGGATGGCGATGCCGAGATGAAGGATGCCGAGCCCGAGGAGGATGTGCTGGACGAGGAGATTCTGGCTCTTGCCACAGAGGACATCAACACTCGCCGCCGACTTCTCGACAACGACGCCAGAATCATGAGAAGCGAGTACCAGCGGTTAACGCACGAGAAGCAGACTATGCTGGAGAAGATCAAGGAGAACAAGGAGAAGATTGACAACAACAGGTAGGGAATGGCAATAGATCATGCTCCCTCCTCGGTAGTGCATCGCTGACACGGCTTTGCGCCATAGACAACTGCCCTATCTTGTTGGCAATGTCGTTGAGCTCTTAGACCTCGACCCCACCGCCGAATCATCCGAAGAGGGCGCCAACATCGACCTGGATGCTATCCGCGTTGGTAAATCGGCCGTGATCAAGACATCGACTAGGCAAACGATCTTCCTACCCCTCATCGGTCTCGTCGACCCGGACAAGCTGCAGCCTGCCGATCTTATCGGTGTGAATAAGGACTCGTATCTTATTTTGGACACTCTGCCGGCTGAGTATGACAGCAGAGTCAAGGCGATGGAGGTTGACGAGAAGCCCACGGAGAAGTACAGCGATGTTGGTGGTTTGGACAAGCAGATCGATGAGATCATCGAGGCTATTGTCTGGCCGATGAAGGAGGCTGAGAGGTTCAAGAAGATTGGTATCAAGGCTCCAAAGGGTATGTTCAGCTGTATTCTAGGGATGTTGTATCAGGTATGCTGACCTATTACTCAGGATGCTTGATGTATGGCCCTCCAGGTACCGGCAAGACGCTCTTGGCCAGAGCGTGCGCTGCGCAGACTGATGCCACTTTCCTCAAGCTTGCCGGTCCCCAATTGGTGCAGATGTTCATTGGTGATGGTGCCAAGCTTGTGAGAGATTGCTTCGCTCTGGCGAAGGAGAAGGCCCCTGCGATTATCTTCATTGACGAGTTGGATGCCATTGGTACCAAGCGTTTCGACAGTGAGAAGAGTGGTGACCGTGAAGTCCAAAGAACCATGTTGGAGCTTCTCAATCAGCTGGATGGCTTCGCCTCGGACGACCGCATCAAGGTCATCGCCGCCACAAACAGAGTGGATGTCCTCGACCCTGCGCTGCTGCGTTCCGGCCGTCTTGATCGCAAGATTGAGTTCCCGTATCCCAACGAGGAGGCCCGGGCTCAGATTCTCAAGATCCACTCCCGCAAGATGAAGGTGGATGAGAACGTCAACTGGGGCGAACTGGCGCGCAGCACAGACGAGTTTGGTGGTGCCATGCTCAAGGCTGTTTGTGTTGAGGCTGGCATGATTGCCCTGCGGATGGGGAAGAACAAGATTGGGCATGAGCACTATGTCGATGCCATTGCTGAAGTACAGTCCAAGAAGAAAGACGTGAGTACCCCCTTGCCCGGCACCTCGGTTTTCGGCCACATTACTAACGTTCCTTTCAGACGGTCAACTTTTATGCGTAATCTTGTTTTCGGTCTGGCTTTGTATTCAAGCGGAGGATGGGGCTGGGAAATGGCAATGGCACTGGATGGCTGGGGGCGCATGGTAGATTTGCATGTGCCGCGGTATCATAGAAGAAGTGGCGGAAGCCGGTCGTTGCGTAATACTATTCAGCAAAGCGACACGGTTTATGATGAACCAATCTTGTGTGTCTTTGTGATTTTCTTGTTCCTTGTGGTGTTTGTATGGTTGGGCTTTGACTCGACAGGTGAGTTCAGGTTTGCTTCATTCGAAGCCACTGCAGCCTTGGTTCGATATGATACAGCTGGCTCTTGTAGGATGCCTGACGGGGATCTGTTCCAGTTTGTACTCGACCTGGGATGCTCGCGTTATTTTGTCGAGGCTGGTCACTCTGGGGTTCTACTGCTTGAAAGGAAGCTTTTAAAGATAGTTAATAGGCCTCCATAATGGTCAAGAGGGTTATCAACAACCTAAGGTATCTTTTAACGAAAACGGCTGGGGCTGTCTTACTATAACACAGGCTTGGTTCTGGTATGGCTGTGCGATGGGGGTTTGACAGGGGCAGTCTGTCCACTTCTTCTGTTGATGTAAAGCTTTTAAGGGGGCTGAAGAATGATGAATTCCTGGCGGTCAACGGAGCTCTTATGATCATGGGTACGTTGATAACAAATATTATGAATAATGGGAGGTAATTGTTCAAGGGACTGGTAAGTTAGGGTTTTGGATTGTATGGATGGTTGAAGAGGAGGAGGAGAAGAGGAATAGTCAAGGTAAGAGTCGCTATAGGATAACATAAGATAGGTGATGTCGTCTGGCTGTCTTGGATGATTTTGAGCAAGTTGAGATTTAACGGATATTCCTCAGTATTCTCAGTCCTCTCCTCGACAGATATAGTCTTTACCAAGACACATAAAGTCTATCCATTCATCCTCTCAGTTCTTTTCCCAATACTGAAAGTCTTCTCCCCGATACTACGAGTCTTTTCCTGGGCCTAACAGTCGACAGACAATATCTTGCAGCTTATTCTCTCTTTGTCTCTACACTCCCTGAAACTCTCACCCATCAACACCTCGTTCCTCCATCACTCTGCCCCTTTTATTACCTTCACCATGGCTGAGTCGACCAGTCCGACATATCCCGCTCACCCGACTACCCGGCTCACCCAGCTCACCAGATACCGCGCAGCAAATTGAACAAAACACCACCACCAACTCTCCCCTCCTTCCCCGTCAGTATGCCCCCTCCAATTCCTCAGCTATCATCTCATCCCAGCGACCAGCCCTGGTATCATTTCACCTCCACCGCGGATAACAAGCAAATCTCGGGTTAGGAGAAGCCGCTGGCTTCAGGTGGGATGCATAAAGCAGAGACCAACTATTACCGAGCGCGTGCCAACTCAGCAGATGGGCCCACGGATGTACACATCAGTCCTCAAGCAAGCCAATAGGTAGGTGCTGTGCGAAGCCGATAAATAGGAGGAGTGAAGCTCCATGGACCTCCGACATGGAGCGCCCACTGGCGCCTGTCCTACTAGACCATCCAGTCCGCATGGTGAATGGTAAATAACGCCCGCTGGGGGGGAGTATGGGGTCGAGGACCGGACGGAGGGGATGAGCGCAGAAATAGCTTGGTTGGGGAACACCACGGGCTGCTGGCTTGCAGGGTTGAGCGATACGGGGTGAGATACCTATACAGATCGAGGGAAAATATGACCTGGTGGCGTATCCGCGTTGATAGTAAATACAGAGTTGGGCGGGAGTGATTGATGGGCGGGTTGCGGACGGGTAAATGAATAGTAGAAGCTGGGGATGAGATTTGGTCTGAATATGGGACAAGGGCTGTACTAGCTTGTTGGATCCTTCATGGGGTTTTGTATGTTTATTACATGTCTGCAGGTGTTAATGGGGGTTTCCCTCGCGATACACAGTGGAATGTTTAATTTGGATTACATATTCCAAGTCATCGTGCCCAGGTACCTAGTCTGTAGCATGGCTACCTACGTTTCCTCAAATCAATGGATATCAGGTGGAAAATCTACAACAATACAGAGTATAGTATTCGTATTTCAAAACAACCTGACCCCGACGACAATCCCAAGTTCTTTACAATAGCAGCAATAAAGTTAAGCTTTCTTATGGGTTGATGAAAACGGTTAAAGTTTCCAGTGAGTGATCGTTTGCTTGGTATTCACTGATCTGTGGCCTGCGCAATACAGGAAATGTTGAAATAGGTCCGGACAATAACAACTATGGATTTAACACCATCATCATTTGTGAAGTGTCTTTTGATGTAGTGTTGATCAGGTATAATTACTAGACGAGTTAGACATCCTCTGGAGAAGAACATGGTAATTTTTCGATATAAAGCAGAAGACTGCGCCCATTTTGGCTCAAAGGGGTACTATTCCGAGGCTGTTTCTCGTGTTTCAGGTGATTGGCCTACATACGACATGCTATGGTCCGCGCGCGCCTATATGGCACCATTTCGAGGTGTGTGCTACTTGCACAGGCAATATAGCATTCATTCTCACGATTCCAAGTCAGGTTTGCAATACGAACGAGCTGTGGTCTTCAACAGCCACTCATGAAGACTGGAGTCAGCGTTTCACTCGGCCTGATGACGTTGGAAGTCAAGCATGGCATGTTCAGCCTCAGCTGTGGTGAGGTATACGACGAAGATTGAATGGTCGACGATGTTCATGATGGTTTTGTGGTATTCTCGTGATAGTATTTATATCTTCTCGGTCAACTTAGATAGGCATGTAGTTATGTCCAGTACGAGCTTCGTAAGAAAGGAATCTGAGTGGTAGGATCAAAGTTTGTGAAACCAAAATGCAGTTGGGTAGACTGTAAAAATTCTCCTCACTGTTCATCTGCAAGGCCCTGCTTACGTGCTCACCAAATAATTCCGTGATTCGTCCTCCACGGCGCTTGTTCGTATTCTCCAAGTAGCAATGGTTACACAAGCCACCCCTCGAATCATATCCCCCTTTTGAGCATGGCGTTGGTGGAAGTAGGTACTTTCGTCCGGCAAGAAACAGATTTGGAGAAAGAAAGGTGAAACACGGGAATCTACTTCCTCTCGGGATGTTTTCGGCCCTGTCAAGGTTGCAGTAGCTTCCTTCTCGGCCCTGCTGGCTTACTCGTGTGCTTCTTCTTTTGTTCTAGACGGTTGTGGCTGAGCAACAGCGGTTAATCGGGGCTGGGGAACCGTTAGCGAGCAAACCATCAACCACAGTCGACACACACCATTGGCTTTTTCGGCTTGAAAAGTAAAATGAGATAAATGTTCCCGAGTCGCGCTAGAAAAGGGCAAGGCAGAATGCCACGAGTCAAGTATGGGGGGTTGCACAACAAGGTGGTTCTGCCGTACTCGTATACATCGTACAGGATTCGAGTGGTGGTTTTATGGCTCGGCATTGGTGTGACAACGTTTGGGTTGGTATACTAGTGCCATTTAGTCAGGTAGTAGTGTTTGGTCCTCATTTTAGCATGTTATTTCTTTCTTTGAGTACATAGGATACCCGGTGTGTGGGTAATTGTTCGTCTTTGACGTGAGCATTGCATCAAGTCGTCAAATAGGGGAAGGCTAGGTATTGAAAATGATGCTCGGTCAAAAGTCGGGCTTGTGAGATGGAGAGGGTTTGAACATCATCTCTAGGTGCTGAGGCATGTGATATCAAACACCAGGGAAGACATACGTCAGACCGGCATGGCAAAACTGGGGTAAGTGGTTGAGTATGACTTCACCGCCGATCGGAGTGTTGATCTTGAAACGGAATATGCCAAATGAAAGAATTTATTTGATCAGCCATTTGCAAGCAGCTCTTGATGGATTCTGGGCCCTGCTAATTTTCCCTGAAAGGCGTTGACGATCCCCCACAATGTCTCTGCCGAACAACGTAGAATATGAACTAGAAAACAGCCGAGCATGGCCCAGCAAAAGCGGAACCTTGCAGAGTGGAATTAACGGGATGGCTTTCCTGCGACGATGATTTGAAACCGCCACGAAAGGCCTGTCGCATTTGGTGGTTGGGTTCGACCACATATGCAGCTACTCAGGGTACTTGTGTGCTATGTGGAGAGTGATGTTAATGTTGCGGGGGCTCAGGGGAGCAGAATGCACATCTGCAACTGACGTCTTATCGTAGAGTCGTAGTCTCTTGGATGTATACCGGTCACAATGCGAAATACGGCGTACCGAGACGTGACAACAGCGAGCCGCGAGCCGCGGTCCCTGTCTAGTTTGCCAGTCCGGCAACTTTATTACTTTATCGGCGAGGTTATTAAGACATGTCAAGCTAAAACGCGATTAGTGCCCGATGAAAATGGTGATAGTCGAACGGGAAGTGGGGGCGCCCAAAGTGCAAAGCCACCATCCTTTTGTCTCCATTGAGCATAGCGTGTCGATGCCCACTTAGGATCCCCGTCTTCACCCAACAGCACATCTGCCGGACATCACGATATCTGATTCCCAACTTCATGGCTCCAGGCGCCTGTTTGCGACACGTAAGCAAGCCCTGCAGTAGACCAGAACGGGGTTAAGACCATGTGGTTGTCAGCATCGGGCTTAAGCTACCGGTGTGCTGGATTAGGTACTTGTATCATGTTGGACAAAAGTCCTCTGCTTAGCCGTCGTCCAATGATGCCAAGGGACGTTATGGCGGGTGTGAAATGAACGTGTCGTTCCCAGAGTGGGCTCCGGCTTGTTGGGGTGCAAGAGCATACAGGCCGAACACCACCAGGCTCTGAGCATAGGTAGCCCTCGAGATGGTGCAGGGCCCTGATGCAGGTAAGCAGGCGGTATCCAACGGCATTTAGGCGGCCCGGGGAATGGATAGCTAGACAACGTTGCATGAGACCGGAGATGGAACGGCAATAGGGACTAGGTGATCGCAGACGCGTGGAATGGTCGTTGATAGACTTCTTAATTCGTTGACGACGAACTCTGTATGGTTGAATCTTAACCCAACTGTCCCGCCAAGAGGTTGTTGGTTTAAAGTTGAACAGCTCGGAATCAACAGCGCCGCATGTAAGTGCGAAGTTGACATAATCAGACATTTAAAGCTTGGTCGCAGTTGAAGGCCAGAGGGGTTAGTCGGTAGTCCTAGAAAGCAACTCCAGAGACTGTCTCTATGTGCATGGACGTGTATACGTCAACAAAAGCTCACAAAGCGTGATGCCGCGGCCTTGGCTGATGGTGACAGCCAGTAATAATTCTGATGCCTGAAGTGTGTTCGCGGCCTCTGTACAAGCGGTACGACCCTGTGTTGGATCTCTGTAGCTGATGATGTTCGAGACAATTTCTATGTTGTTGAATCATTAGACTTGGTCTAGGGGGTCTTCAAAACACTGGGTCCCATGACGAGTGCATTGAATCTGTGTTAGATATGGTTGGTATGGGTTGTGTCAGTATGACGGAGATTACCGTAGACAGCGACTTAGCTGAAAGAATGCTTCATCAAATTCGAGGTCCAAGTATCGTTGGTTCTTCCATAATTATCCGGACAAGTCATCGGCCTCAGGTACGTGATGCTACTGGGAGCGACGGCCTGGAAGAGTCACTCTTGGTTGTTCCCACTACGTATCTAAACGCAGCAAATTTTGCAAGGTTGGGGGTTGTTGGTTGACATAAGGGCCGCGCATGTGGTGTTCTCCGTGGTGGAAATACCGACTTGAAGAACACTAGAAGACCATCAGTATGTGTTCATGATGATTTCCCCAACAATTCCAACACCTACAACGAAATGTGATAGGTAATCAGACGGAAATAGGAGGAAAGCATGGCGTAGAGGCGTTTCCGTGGCCTTGCCGTGATCCTTTCATGGTGGTGAACAAAACAAACAAAGAAGACACAAATTCCATGCGACTGAACAAGAAACCAACGAAGAATCCATCGATGCGGCAATAGGGCTGAGTAGTACTGGCATCTTGGGGCGCGATGATGGTGGTTGTCAGCTGTGCCGCAGGGGACTGCTCAAGTTGATACCGTGGTGTGAGATATATCGGCGGCCTGCATAAACAACCTCCCTTACCGGGACACGGGAGCGGTCTCGTGATGCGTTGACTCGACCATCATCACGAAGTGGTGGTGCGTGCGTCATCGTGGTGGACGATGCTGGGTTTGAGGAGAGTCAAGACTTTTGGTGCCTGGCGTGCCTGGCGTGCCTACCAAAAAATTTCGCTAGCGCTTGCGTAGTCCAAAATGCGCCAGGCATCCTCAGGCAAGTGCCCCGTATTATGTCCTTCCTGCCCCTGTACTATTCAAACGGCCCACCGGGACGACACCCTGTGTGTCCATCGCGTCTGTCCTCACTTCCAAAGAAAACACATCTCATCTTTGAATCCATCCTCCAACAAATCTATCGACCACGTTTTCGGGCCCCTTAGACCATCCGCAGCCGCTGCAATCCTCCGCCACAGACAGGCGCCACGCATCCAATTGGGATAAGTGTGCATTTGCGCCCCTGCAAGTCCACGACCCAGCAATGCAACGACGCCAGTGCTGTCCCTGTCAGGTTCAAGCAGCATGGCAGCGGCATGTTGAAAACCTACGTCGGAATGGATATTTGGAGCTGACCAAGCACGCCCAACGAACACCACGGCATTGGTTCTCCAAATCCTTCAGAGAACAACCACAACCGAATGCGCGAATCAAGCTTCAAATCCGCCTTGGAGATCGGTGGGGATCATTGGGATACACTAGGGGATATGAGCCGCCAATCGTCATGGACTCAATCGTTCGATCAAGAGGTCGCCGACGAGGCAAAAAGAACACCACACCACCACAGCATCCAGACTGGCGATGTTCAAGTTTCCGAGATGCCTTCAACGCTGCGCCAAGCGGCGATGCTGCCTTGAGACAAGCACAGGTAAACCTTCTGGCTTTTTTTTTTGTCTCTTACGTTCTCTTGTCGTCACGTCAGTTGGCTCCTGCTTCTGTTCCGCACGGAGGGGGCATCACTTGTACCCTGCAAGGGCCTTGTGCACGCCAATTCCAGTGACGCTGTGGCCCCTATGCCTGGCTGGAGTCATCCCGCTTTGAAGGCGAGTCTAGTGACTCCACCTTCTCACTCATGAAATTTCAAGTGGGTTCGTAACTCAAAGTTATGGGGCACGGCCGGCGAGACACTTTCTCTCCCGGAACACCTCCGGGTCCGGCATTGCCTGCGGTACACCTTGGACTCTACTTGGATTCTGAGCCCCCCTACGGTACCCCTGTTCTGCCTGGCGGCACGTATTGCAAGGCTCCGCAGCATGCCATGCCACTCACTTGTCACTGTGGACATGGATACACACTACTTGGAGATGGTTGCCATCTGAAAATAATTTAAACAGCAGCTATTCCCACCTTTTGGATCATGATCATCAACAGCCCAACACCCACTTCCAGTTTTTAATAGCTTCACATCAACATCAACATCAACATCAACATCAACATGTCTGGATACTACCACATGCCACTCCAGGGCCAGCATGACCAGCAACATGCTGAGCCGTCTGCCTTTCGACCTTCCCGAGCAGAGGACTGGGAACCATACCGAGACATCATTGCACATCTCTACAACACGATGAAGCTCAAGGATGTCATGACCGAGATGCAGATGACATACAACTTCAAAGCAACGTAAGCTTCCACCTCTCCCCAACACCAAGACGTTGAACTGACATGTTTGATATTAGTGAGAAGCAGTACAAGACTCAGTTGAAGAAGTGGAACCTTGATACCAAGTACATCAAGGCATCCGAGTACATGGCCATGCTTCAGATCATGCGTGAGCGGGAGGCCCAGGACCCATCCAAGCAGACACGCTTCATTCTTCGCGGGAGACCAGTAGATCCCAAGGATATTGCTCGGTTTGAGAAGCGGCATCAGAAGAAAGGGACCCTGAAGGAAGGGGAGCTGGCAGAGCTTCAGGGTAGGCAAAATCTACCGTTCTTCACACATGACCATCAACTAATATATCAACCACAGAACCTGTCGAGGACCTCATCTATCACACTCCTTCTCCTGAGCCAACAGGATATGCATACACTGCAACCTCCGACTACGGGTCAACCTCTTCGTATGCAACCACTTCCGCATACGACACTTCCTCGCAATACGCCTATAGCTACGGCATGTGACCCGAGCAATGCATCTACGACCACGCAAGGTGGCTTTCTACCCGAATATTTTGACGACGAGGTGCAACCCGCAGATGGGGGCGCATCGTCGATTTCCTTTTTTCAGCAATAGTTCTTCCTTAAACTTAATGCACGCATATGGGACAACGGTAGGACATGATTTGGAGGCATCTCATCTTTCATTTGGTGGACTGGAGGAGTAATTGGATACCCATGGATTTGATTGGTTTGGACTTACACGGGCGTTTTTTGCTTGCAGCGGATAGACACATATAGACGTGACAGTGGTGCATCGATTATGATTACTCATCATGCATCATCGAATCTTGTATCACCTTCTGGAGGCCTCGTCTGATGTTTGAACAAGTATGGCTGCAAGTCTTTGGCTGGCCAGCCCTCGCCAGGCTCGATCACAGGCTGGTTTGACCTTCCAATCAGGGACACCCTTCCCCCAATCCCAACTCCCGACCGAGTGGCCATCGGGAACAACATGAGGCGGCCCCGGCTCAGCTACCCGTGAGCCAAGGCCTTGCGCCTCGCAATATCTGGTCCCAACAGGACATAGCTTCAGCTCTCTGACAAAATCTGGATGCCTAGCGTTGTTCAACCATCTCGAAAATAAAAGAAGACTCCTTGATTCATGCGGATCTTGCTCGGCAAGGCGTACCGAGATCCGTCCGAAGCACTCCGGTCCTCTTTTTGTTTGCTTGCTTTAGGGTGAATCCATCACGAACGGGCTGCTTCATGGCTAAACAATGTTTCAACCAGCTTGTAGGAACAGCTGTGGCTGTGCAACCGGCCCCTTGACCATCGTCCGATAAATGGGCTCCCAAGAGGTAGGATTTAAGGTTCGTAGTGCTTATACCCCATACTGGTTCCCACATACTCAGCCGACCAAGCCAATAGACCCGGCTTGATTTGTTTCTTTGACGGGCGGTGGACCAAAAAAAACAAGCTTTTTTGTTTCTTTGTAGGGGCTGGGCTTGGTTTCTCTGTGGAATTCTTTCCCCATTCCCAAGCGATAAGAACCTTGCATGACCGCTTAAGTCCATTTTTGAAGTTTGAGCCAATGCCGGTGTGTGTTTCTGAAAGGCCTCGTGGCTTTGATGGCAAAAAGAGGGGGGAGGGAAGGTGATTTGTGGTTGTATTTTGCTTGTTGGTTCTGGCATCTCCAAGCCTCTCTGTACTAATTTGCGCTGTGTAACCCGAGAAAAACTGGGTTTTCGTAAATGCTACTATCGTGATTGTAGACACGCGCGCGCATAGCCTTCTTGGACTTGTAGTACCCCCGCGACGGGAAAGATAGCGGTCCCTCCTTAATTCCGATATGTCACCGGCGTCCCCCCGCCCTAAAATAGGCGTATACTTCGTACCCCACACAGTTTGAGAACAACCTGAGGTACCAGCCCGGGTGACTCAGACATTTAATTCCAGGATCTCGAAATACAACTTTACCTTCTTTGACCGGTAAGTCACTCCCGTCATATAAGCGCAAGTGTCATTGTCGTTGTTTTAATCAGATCCGATATGCAATCGGAGAGATATGGAGCGAATGCATCAGGGGTGGACTAGCCCTAGCCCCTCCAAGAGACCCTTACTGGATACATCCCCCAACCCCGTCCCCATTTCACGAAAAGCTGCTGCCTGGCCCGTCCGGGCGCAGGTACGGAGTCCACCAACATTATTCGGGATTTTTTTTTTATTTCCACTTTGGCGTTGTGCAGCGCCCCACGTTTTATTCCACAGGCTTGGTGGACACCACCATCAAGCTTTCGCGACTCAGTGATGCAAGATTGCTACCCAATTTTCTGAATCAGTCACGACGGTAATATCGGAAGTAGGCAGATTTCATTTTGAGGGAGAGATAATACGCCTTTTCATGTTATCAATGATGTGATGGACACCAGGCAGCATTCCGCCTTGGCAATCATGAGAGAACCCCCGGTGGAGATTAACCATGCTGGGTAAGGTTACTCTTTGATATGGCCTGTGCGCTTGCATTCTTTTGAAACAAACTCCCGTGTGGCTTCGGAGTTTATTCTTGGTTGCCTCGTTAACGTTAGGTGCCTTCAACTTGAACAGTTCTTTTTGCTCCGCTGAATCGATATCACAGTTGGTTATGGACGCTTGGGCGGGATAGAGGGTTGGCACTTTCCTCTTCTGGTTGTTGCTCGTGAGTGAGTTTTATTTCAGCTGAGGAAAAGGACACGAAGAACCTCGCGCTTCAAAGGTAAGGTTGAAGGGGCCTTGGCATGGTATACTAACTTCCGGAGTTGAGACGGGAATGAATATGTGCCTGGTCAGTACAGTAACACAGGCCCCGCGCAGGCGGGATGTAGCCTTGACAGCATATGTCGTGATCTGGCAAAGGGGGGATGGGGGTGGTTACACGAGGACGGCGCGGAGGGACTCACGCTACGCCTGATCCGGGGGGTTACGTCTGACTCGGTGATACTGGGGGTACGTTTTATCAACTGGGGGGTTCGATTGTAGTTCATATGTGCATAATGGTGGATGTGAAAGTGTGCCTGAAAGAAGGTGATGTCATGGGTTAGAAAACGAACAGTGTAACCGATGTAGCTGTCGGATGGTTACGGGCCGAAGAGTTTATAAAAATGGAAAATGCTAGCTGACGTATGAGGTCCTACGTTCGTATCTCAGGCCGAGGTTCCGGGAACATGATTAGTGATGGCGTCCTTCAACGCCTTCAGCCATATCAGACTACCCGAGCCTCGTCCAACAAACATTGTCGCTTTCTGTTTTGTGTATCGTATTGACTATGAAAGGCAAAGCCAATCATATAGTGAAGTCGGTTTCACAGGAGTGTCTCGGCCCTAAGAGACTACAGATGTAGGCGGAAGTCCCGATAACATTACATCAAGATATCTGCGGGCTCCGGGATTCGGACATCACCAAGCTGCTTCATTATATCGTATGAGGCTTGACGCCAGACCCTGAGGCAAACCAACTGCATCCTATAGTCTGTTTCACCAGCCATTGAAGATTACTGATACAGATAATACCTCTACATTCGTCCGCCGAACTTCGGGTCTCGCCGAACAAACAGTGACCTTCCTAAGTTTGAGAAAGGCACAGCCAACATGAGCTTGAATCGTGTAGTCTAATCCAATCGGCGTAACCCGGCCCTAAGCACTTACGTATATAGAGGCTGGTATCTCATAGGCCAATTAGTATGGAATGTTCTGTAACACAGGAAAGAACCATTGTGCCGCCGCCACAATCTTCTGTTGGAATAACAGATATTCCTCTGCCTCACACCGCACCAACAGACAGCCACAACCTCCTACGCAGAATTCCAGGAACATTCCTCCGCGTTGCACAAACTTGAAGCCACCGCCAAGTAAAAGTCTCTGTGTAGCACGGGGTGTATTAGTTGCCCGTCTAGCTGGGTACCTTGGCTACAAATATCGTTGCCTGGCAGGAGTTGGAATCTGCGACAGCAATCGATAGCAAGGAAATTAAGTTGAGGAGCCAACACGAACACACAAGTCCAGGTAATGCGATAGCGAATTCTATCAAGTGCAACTTGCAGTCTGGGAGGAATTCGCTGCGAGAGCAACTCGGATACACGATCCTGGGGTAGCGCTTCCCACATGCAATGAGCTCTAAACCGGCCAAAGCTTTCATCCTGGAGAGGGCTGGAGAAGGGGTGGAATAGCGCAGTGGTCAAGCAGAGGGACGCCTTGAAACATCAGTTACCATGCACCAAACAGGTCACAAGCTCTTGATACTGATATTAACGAGATCTGGGGGTCAAGTCATTTTGGTGTTTTTATGGCTTAGTTTGATGGGTAATGTTGTTATCAAGTGTCAATGTGAGTGAGCTGTTAAGTTGTTCATGTTCTGTTTAATTTATAGTTCTTTTTCGCTTTCTTTCTTTGAGAGTAGGGCTTTTATCAGCTCTGACCAGGTTGATATATAGACAAGTCTGGCTAAGTGCTACGCTGTATAATCAGCCTAATAAAATCAGCTCCCCATTATCGTTAAATTAGTTAGCCCTAACCATGGGTACGGAGAAAACTTAGCAACTTGAAGAGATTTTTTAAGAGGTAGAGGAGAGAGCTGCTGAAGTATGTGTGTCGTTGAAGACTGTATTGCGAACAGAGAAATGCTGCTTCCGAGCCATAAAGATTACATCACATTGAAGCCAGACACATAACAATCCCTCTGTTAACAACGCCAATTTGAACTCAATAGAGTTGCCAAAGGATTCTCCCAATACTATCGGCCAAAAAAAATGAAGACAATCAAGCCAAAAACGCAGTCTGCTTTCACATCCACAGATGCTAGCACCAGGCCATCCACACAGCTGTCCCCCAAAAATACAACCCTTTACTAGGTTCGCTCCAAACAGCCAGCTGTTCTCATGCCATAAATACACAAAATAACCAAAAAAAAAAAGAAAAAAGAGAAAAAAAAGGGAAAGGTCCCCGCCATGATGGCGCTCATCTCCTCCGTCTATCAAAGGCAGTCCCGTTGACTACCATTCCGCCTCCCGTTCGGCCATGGTAGAACTCGTCATGTTCAATTTAAGATACTCTTCCTTGGGAACCTCTCTGCTCTCTGGGCCCATTCCAGTTCGTCTTCAGCTCTTCTGAGTGCGGACTTGTTCCATGTGGCCAGCCTTTCCAACCTTGTGACTTCCCTTTTGAGATCGGACAATGTGGGGGGGGGGGGGGGTGAGTGAGTGTGGGCTTGTGTGGTTTGATGCGAGAGTGTGGATTCTTGGAAGATTTCGAGTGTTGGTGGAGGTGAGTTGGGAGTGTGTGCCTGCATGTTCAACATGCTTCAAGAGGCCGAGGGAAGATATCTATTTGCAAGGGAAGGAATGTGCGGTGTGTGGCACGAGGGCATTTGGCAGGTTGAAATCAGCTGGGTGACTTGGAAGTTGTGTGAGCATGGAAAGCAGGAAAGTATAACTATGAAAGGGTCAGCCATCAGGGTTCCAGGTTACCTGCCCGGTCTTACTCAGGTTGCAAACAACAATACGGTTTCAGAATTCGAATATCTAGTACCGCCGTCCATTTTCTCTGACACTGTGCTATCTCGACAGGTCGCGGTGGCCTCCATCTTCATACCAGACGGCCACCTTTAACTTGTGAGTCGCGACCCATATATCACTGCTCATTGACATCTGTGGGCTTGCAAAGGCGAACGTTGGCAGTTACCCAACCTTCCACATGGAAAGAATTCCGGCTTTTCTCGGCGTCTCGGTGTCATGTCCCCCGCCGGCACTATTCGGCCACTTCCTCAAGATGTCGTTTCCAGAGCAAGTACGGTCGCCTTTTGCGCAAGTTGCTCCCGCCTGGGAATTCCACCCTTCCATCCTCCTTCACCAGTGCCGGAAGCTCATCGCCACACCCATAACATGAAAGCCCGCACCTGTTTGAAAATATCCTTTCAGAACCAGTGGCTGCAAATTTCCGAGACGAATTTGGTCCATTGACCTCACACTCCCAGCAATACACCTCAATTTCATCCAATCGGTCAAAGCATTCCTCCATGACTTGGCGAAGATTGATAACCACAGGCTGGTGTGATTCTTCTTCGGAATCTTCCGTGTTCAACCATGGCGAAAGGGAGTCGCCACAGTCGTGACAGAATAAAGGACTTTCTCCAGGTGTCGAACTACATAACATGTCTTCAGCCAGATCTGGTATTATTAGCTTCCCATCTTGGTCAGTGTGTTGCGGCTCGCACTTCCAGCAAAAGGCCAGATTATGAGTGTCCAAATCGCTCTTCAGCTCTTGTTCAATGAATCCCGTCACGTCCACGGGGTACACCGAGTGTATTGCCTCGTCAAATTGATACTCGGCTGGAGATTGCGCGGTTCTCAATCTCTTGCGCCTGGCTGCTTCCGCTCTCGAATGTCTTTCCAATCCTGTCGACAATCCCAAGTCCAATTGCGGCGCTGATAAGGGAGAGCTGAAATCGAAATCGGCAGCCATTCCGGTACCAAAAGATATTGGCGGGGGAACAGGTGACCTTTCTTCCGGTGAAAGAATGGAATGAGACTCCTGTCGTGGCCTCTCCATTTTCATACTCTCGGCGAGTAACCCAAGTTCCCGGCTTTTCCTAGGGTGCCGGGAGAGGTATCGATGCTGCATGATCCTCCGCACCTTTCTGCTGAATACTGCCCACCAAAGAATAGTGAAGGGAAAGCCAGCAAGTACCGCGCCGAAATCCTGGGAGTACCCTACGCTGACACCAATTTCTCGTCGATACATGCGCGAAACAATCCACGGCGTTGGTGGCGGATCGAGAGAAGCCGTTTTGACTGTCTGGCAACTGGTCTGCTTGAAATTGCTCTGCAAAAATTGGATGTTAGAGGGTTTGCTTGGGATGAAAGTAAGTATCCGTGGCAATAAAAGGCTCACTGTCTGGCAGAACTCCAAGAACTCTTTCTTCGCCGTCCACTCAGCCAACCTTAAAGCCTTTCGGCTATCCTCCATCGCACAAATCGCCGTCCATAGTGCTACGCAGGTCACAGCAAAACCGGCCATTGCAGCCAGGATCCGACTGGATCTACCAACAATGCTCCCGCATCTTCCAAAGACAGATGCAGGTTTTAGACTTCGGAAAAACGCGCTGAGAATTGCCACAAACTTGAAGGTATTCATGGAGTTTGCCAAACTCGCGAATGGGTTGGTTGAATGTGATTCTCTCAATTCCCTCTCCTTCGTAGGGCAAGAGAATGGTCCAGAATTCCTCGGCATTATCGTCGCTGCTGCATCAACATATGGACCAGGTGAAACAGGTCCTCCACTACCCATGGTTGAATGATCGTGATCGGCCATATCGACACCTGATGGATTCAGTTTGCCTAGGTAATTTACTGCTAAGATCATAAGATGGTACTTTTGAAGTCTCGACACTTTGTTGAATGAGGGCGGGGGCCTCCATGTTCAGTGTGGCAGTGCATAAGCAGGTAAGGTAGCTCTGCATGTACCTTGAACAGCCCCCAAGCACTTCCCCCAAGCACTTTCAGCCTCGTCGCAAATGTGAGTTGGAACACATCGATCTCTATATCATCCGGTTTTGACTTTGAGTTAGAAATAATAAGCGAACTGGATACATGAACCGAACCTCCCAGAAGTCAGAAACATAGCATGTATGGAAGGCCTTCCGCAGCTCGAGCGAGTGACCTTTTGGTCTTCGGTGCGGCCTAGAGATGGCCAATCAGCAGGATATGGAAAGCCATTCAGATGTTTATTTTCCAGCTTACTGCGCTCCCTGTGATCTAAGAGGGTTCGATCGAGACAGAACGGTAATGGTCAACACCTCGGGCAGCGTTTCGTGTACGGGGAATCCTGTCTTTTGTCACTACTGCGGGACCGTATTACACGGTGGACAAACGAGGAGGAAGAATCTGTCCGGAACTCGGAAATGACAAACGGAGTCAGGTTGCGCAAGAATTTGGATGCATCTCAGAGGACTTAGCGGGGGGGGGGGGGGGGGGTTAAAGACAGGTTGAGTCAACAGCAGGCCAGCATAGGGGGCGGAATCTCATGAACAGCATTCTAGTCAACATGATCTGGGGAGAATCTCAACCAAGTATATTTGGGAGCTGAAAAGTCGAAAAAAGATGGAATTTGATGTCGCAGCCCGACCACTAGGTACCTACCGTATCTTGCATGGGCTTTGCGGGAACTTGCTTTTCTCAAACCACTGCAATTTCGGCGCACCATCGACAACAATGTCTCGCGTGTGTTTGCACGGGAACAGCAGAGAGAAAGTCTGCTTTTCAGTGCCAAGCATTGATATATATAATCTGTATCTGGTACTATCATGGTCAAGGCACTAGCCTCCACATCCTCCACCTCTCGCGTTGAGCTCGCGTCCTTTTTTGTTCTCCAAAAACACCTATCACCGCCTTTTCCATCGTCGTCAACACTCATTACAACTGGGTTTTGCCCCAACACCATGATGTCTCTCATCCATCAATCAATGCCACAGAGCTGTCTTGCTTAAAAAAGACATCTTCAATACATAACGGAGTATAAGCCCCACAGGCACCTTTGTCTCGAATCACCACAGCGCGCAGAATCCTCGCGAGCTGGACATACCGGAGGTCCAGTCCCTGGAGCTTCAAATCTTGAATCAAGCCTTGGGCCGTTGGTTGGCAACCGGGCAGATTTCCTGGCTTTTACCAGAAACTCGATCACGACTATGCAGAAGTTAACCTGTCACTCAAAGCCCTTGAACGAAGCGACCTTTGTCGAGTGCAGGCTCTTCTCACTGTCTCCAAGGATCTTCCCTTCGAGGTTTTTTTAGCACGTATCCGACATGAGCAGAGGGGCTCCAGTGACGCAGATTCTGAATTGGAAGAGATCAGCGATTATGGCGACGACCCCAATTGTCCGAGCAAATTCGAGACTCACAAACCAATCCCCATCAGAGGTCTCGCTGAGCAGAGTGATGTAGTTGACAAGCTGTACGATGTCGATGGTAATGAGGTTGTTGCCAACATCCCGGTTGAGGATGCCCGAATTTGTGGATCCCGATCCATTTGCCGGCGCCAAATGTACAGCTCGATACACTCGTGGCTCTGAGGATTGGGTAAGCTCCTCCGCCTTTGAAGAGATGGCTGGAGTTGATGCTAATACTCTTCTCGCACAGGCCCCTGTGGCAACCAACGAGTTCAAGGTTGCGGTATGACAACCTGGAAGCTTTATTCTCTGGTTGGGAATATTGTTGGGCGTTTAGGCTGATGACGGTCTAGGCCGTTGTCATCGTCCCTCACCCGCCTCTTCCGCCATATTTTATTCGTCTCAAATTCTGGAAACCGCTATGGGCCATGAATTATAGCACGCGGTATTATGGTGACCATGTGGCAAAACGTTCTTTGCGATTGTGCCTACGCCCAAACGCACCCGAGTCAGCCTTGCATTCACTTAAGCAGCTCTGGGGAAGGGGCCGTGAGGTTGTCTGGGAACAGGAAGAGGCCATCAACAGCAAGAGATGATCCACCCGGGCGCTGGTGATGGATTTTGCGAAAGGCTCAGCATAGTTCAAAAAGGGTAAGTCATTTTGGGGAGAAGAGGATAACAACAACGCACCTTCTGTTGAGAGCAGTAAATCGAGCTGACATGGTGTTAGCCTTGATGCGTTTATCCACAAGCAGCCATCAATTCCCCACTAACTGTGGACGGTCTCAACTCTTGCCCCTTTCAGCACCAAGACTTCCACCCAGACGAGACCACTGTTTGACTGGGCGCAACGAACGATCATCGGTTGGTTCGAGTCTGGAAAGAGGGGGCAAGAATGGTCTCTTGATGAACTTCAGGGCGCCCCTTTAGCCGACGTTGGCCTCTATTATGCACCCATTCGAGGCACTAATGACTTTGTACCTTACCCCACCCCGTCCGGGTGCCTCTAACACCTGCTCGCAACTAATGCGCTCTCACGAAAGGGTTATCTCGCACCTCAAAATCGGAGTGGATCCTGGGCCAATCCTGGAGGCCAAAAACAAACTGGTCAAGTTCTGGGAATATGTAAACCCTGTGACTGTGACTGGCCGATTTCTACTCGAGTTTCTCTCTCGCCTCAGACAACACGGCAACAAAAGTCTCCACCCACCTTATGCCACGACTCGACTCTACCGAAGCATCGCAGCTTGGTTCCTCGCGTCGGGAAAGCTCAAGCACTTCGGCCAGTATTATCATTCGCGGGCCAGAACCACACCACAGGAGGCAGATGATCTCTTCGATTTCTTCCAGGTTCTCGACCGCGAATTTCCCTCTCTCGTCTCACCTTGTTCGTCGAGGAACTCTCCAAGGCAGACCTTAATACGGGTGCCAGCTCCGAAGCCCACCGCTTCACTTGGATTCCCCTCCTCAATCACCTACTACCTACCCTTTGCCGCCGCCAAAATGGCTTCTTCCAAAGAGAATCCAAGCCTGGAGCATCGGCTCTGGCCGGCAATCTACAAGACACGCATCTCAGCTTATGTAGCTGACTTCCTCGGTGAGCGACCTAGCCGGCGTTCTCTCAAACGAAAGGGTCTCTACCGCGTTTGTATACTATGCGCCCCGGTGAGAAGGTTTTTGGAGGACGAGAAGAAACAGGTGTCTAGTGTGAGGGTCCTGAGCAAGGACATGAGGGCGCATTTGCATGACAAGATTGATGATGTGGCGCTTGGGGAGGATCTGCAGCATGTTACGAAGAAGCCGGAGAGGTTGGTGGTTGTGACGAAGACATTTAAGCTGGGTGACGGACATCTGAAGCGGTGGGTGGGGAAGGTGGAACAGGTCAGAGAGGTGATGAGGGGGTTTGATGCTCGGCTTCTTGAGGAGGTTGTTGGAGATGTTGATGTTTGGGGGGAGGTTGTTACGGGAGGTGGGGAGGTTGTTATCCCAGGGGGGGAGGGGGCTACGGAGAGGGTGGCGAAAAGGAGGAGACTTTATTGATTTTGGGTTCCAGAGAGGAAGGCAGGTTTCTTGGATAGGTGGATATGAAGATATTGTTGACTTTGAAATCAAGTCGATAGCTGCGCGTCCGTCCATCTTGTTCCGAAAATAACAAGCGGCAAGAACTCAAGTTTCCGGCACCAGTCCGTTCTCTTTCCAACAGGCCCGTACTGGCTTTGCTCTGCGTGGGGCAGTTCGTGGCATTCATAGGGATTACGACCCCCGGGTTCATGATGGGAGGCATACATCTATACAGACTCGTGCCGCTACAGCTCCGGTACTCCTTCTACATACCCCCTTAATTTACAAAATTCTACTACAGTTCAAGCGGCGCAGAGAGCCAGAACAAACTACCGCCCCCCGTTGGGCATATCATTCGGAGCTGTATGTCTGGTAGACCTCTCTCAAAGGCTTTCCTCCCAGAACGACAAGCGCGTGTGGACTACGGGGTTCTGGATTCATTTACGAGCCGAAGCACATATAAACAAGATGTCCCTCTGGTTTGCAACGTAAGCTCTACGCTGGTAGAGCCGTAGAGGCATTTTCGGGCTCTCTTTCAATGTCAATTTAGATCAGCGCTATAGCTAATGCGCCGTCAAGGCAAGTCAGAAGACTATATAATGCTTCTATACCGCGTGGCTATCATGAGTTGGAGATATCATTCGGGGAGAGTTGTGATGCAAGTCATGAGGGGCATAATATGGTGCCTTGTACAGAACAGGAGGGTCGTTGTTACGCCCGTCCGATAAGTGGTAGTTCTATAAGATCGGTATGAAGAGCAAAAGGGCTTGGCAGGGTTTGGTAATAAAGAAGAATGTAATTTGTGCAATGTATTGTATAAAGACCTGCAATTTTAACGGACAGTTCTGGACCTCGCAGCGAAATATCAGGTGGTTGGCGGTGGCCGGAAATCTATTCGACTAGCGAGCATAGGAACTTGAATAGAGCCCTTCTTGTTTTGTGTGCAAAATGGCCTTTTCTAAAGCGTTCCTCACTATGGATTTAGCGGAAGAACTAAGGGTCAAGGGATGGCTGAAAGAGCTTGTGCCATTGAAGCTACTGATGCTTACTCACCTTCGAACAAACGCAGAGATATCAATCATATTTAAAATCATCGCTTGCCTTCCCTCCCGCAACTGATACCCCTTTATCGAGGAACCTGGTCAAGAAACCGGCCTATCACCCGTAGTATCCTCATCGCCATCTTTCGTTTTGATGTTCCTGGCACCACAGCCGCAAAGTCTCTGTATTCGATGTTATTCATCTTGAGATCTTCCTCATGCTCTTGCAGCATGCGGTTCCGTGAGTCAAAACTCTCCGTTTGAAAATCCCTAAAGGCTAGAGACTCGAGCCTTTGTGTCTCCCAAAAGTTTAATGGGGGAGATTCTGATGCTGAGGCTGCTGATTTCCATGGCGAAGTCGATGTTTGAGTGGGCTGA